TGTCTGTGGCTCTGCCTGACACTGTGCCTGTGAATGTGGCTGTGATGGTGAGGCTGACGGTGGTGACGGAGAGGGTGGCCCCGACAGGAACAATGGCAGGGGCTTGGACGACGACGGCAGAGGTGACGGTGGGGAGGGTGATGGCGGCGGCAGCGGAGGAGGCGTGAGGCGGCGGGCGCTGCGACGGGAAAAGCGGAGGCGGGATCGCGGGGGCGGTCGCTGTTGTTCTGCTCCGCTGCTTCGGACGGCGGTGGTGTCGTGCGGCAGAAATTCAGCTGATCGATGACGCAGTTCCGTCTTCTGAAACGTCAGGAAGAAACGTTATGCTTTGGTTCACGTCTTTCCGAGAGATATGTAATTCAGTTACAGCAATACGCGACACTAGCAGGAATACGAAGTTTTTTCTGAAAACATACAAGATTTTTCCACACCCCTTTGAATCCAAATATTATGAAATACTTATCAGAACACACACTGGTCAACTGCAAATTAATAACAAACATAAAATTTTCAGAGTAATAAAAATAAAAATGAAAACATACAATGGTATCAGCAATCTGCATACGAGTAAAAATTAAAGGATCCTTCAAAACTTAAAAAGTTTTAAAATTTCTCGAGACATATTCAATTCATTGCATACACGTAAATGGAACATGTAACATTATTGTGCCAAATCATGAAAAATACTTTACACACTTGATACAAAAATTGCTTTAAACACATACGTAAAACGTCACTCGCACTACATCAGAAATAATATGTTAAAGAGGTTTTACTTTACCATGTGAATAATTTCTATAAGATGGAATTATCTTATCTTCCTTTAACTTGCTTGATTTACGATTGTACCGTTCTTGTGGAGTTTTGGAAACTGATTTTATCGAAAGTGAAAAAAAGAAATGTTGCATCTAATAAAACGACTTCTGTTTTGGAGAACGTTGACTACCAGGATTGAATGTGCAATTGCCTCGCCACATAATGAGGTGTTGGACACCAGCAGCCACCAGATAGATTACATCGCCGACGAACGAATAAAGATTTCAAAGTTGCAATTTGTCTCACGTCTTAAGAAAATGTTCATTTATCTTTCTGTCCGACATTAATTCAAGTTTCTCAATTACTAAACAAAAAGAAAACTACGACGCAAAAATGCTATCTGCTAGACTGCCACTTCGTCAACAAGACCTCTTATTGATATCTTCAGACACATTCCTCCAACAATAATGAAACCGAATGTGTAATGACATCCATTAGAGCCATGCAATAGTAGTAAATGCTTATTTTTTCAGTGATAGTTCCTTTTCAGACCACAATGCCTTACGTACGGTGTATATACAGAAAGCACGAGATATCGTTTCACATCACCACTAGGTGAAGTAATTATCAGTAGAAACTAGGAATTTTTTCGGTTTGAAAGCTATTTTGTTGCTAAGTGTGAGGAATTATTAAGAGGTGCTCCTCGCATGGTATTTCAACATATTGACAACCCATTTACTTCCCAACTGCCTGCCAGATGATTCTTGATTTATACTCACAATCAAATCGAGGGTCTTAAAAATTACAGAAACAAAATTTGTGGTGCTGCAAAAGACATATTTTCTCGCATTATTTCTAACTTTTGTAAATTTTGAAAATTCAGAGTTCAACGAAAATCAGTCCTACACCATTTTTTAAGCGTCCTTTGCTAGAAGAAAAAAAAGGAACCTTTTTCAAGGGAACTGTATTAACTTCAAACAGAAATTGCGCAAAAATCACTAGTTTTTGAAATAAAATGTAAATGATATTTTTTGAGACTATGGATTTTTCGAACAGATTTTTTAAGAAAAAATCTCTATACTAAATATTGTAATTTTGCTCTTCTAATTTCTTTAACAATTTTCGTAAATGCCGATAAATCGCCAAAGTAGAATCAGTACCCAATTTTCACCATCCGTTGATACATTACGAAGAGATAAAATCGAGCAGTTTTTGAGAATAAAGTGTTTAAAAAGTACAGAGCGCCAGGAAAGTCTGTCCGCACTGAACCGAGTCATGGTCTCAAATTTACATTCAGGTTGGTAGCAACCAGATAACTGTGAAAAAAAAAAGTGAAGGGTACACCACTTCCAGCATCTGTTATGATTGTGATGAGAACGCAATTTACTTTTTACAAGCTGCAGTTCGTGCTAGCAACATTATTGCCGTTGCTAGCACACTCATCAGCAAGGTGCCACTGCGGAGAGACCGTACTGGCGCGCTGCATTACCTACATTTCACACATAATTACTCGAAAACTACTTATATTTTCGAAATTGACCTTATTTGAAGATTTCTATTTGAACAAAAGATTCTACAAAGCAAATATTCTCTATCTTTAATGTAGTAGTTGAAAAAAAATCGCCGAAAAAAATTGAACTTCAGCAGTTTTCAAAAAAAAAAGAACCTTAAAGGAAACTGAGATATGCGCTATTATTTTAGGCGACTTTACGCTATCTAAGAAGTTAAAACAAACAAATTGGAGCCATTTTTGAGAACATTTTGAAAATGTTGGGAGCTCCTGTAAAGTAAAAAATAAAAATATGTAGTTAATAATTGCAGAGCTCGATTCGTTTCTATGATGGGGGAATTTAAATTCGGGAAAAAATCACTTCAACGGTTGAGGTTCTATAGTTGACCACAGATGGGCGGACGGGCGGACGGACATGCGAGCAAGCTGACAGGCGGACGGATTGAGAGACGGTTGCACTCAATCGGTTTTTCTGTGTTAAGGACCCTCAAACGGATTCTGACTACGCGATGTGTTAGAAGAAGTAATTTGTCTAGACATGAGAACAAGATTTATTCTCTCTTTCGTTCTTAGAACTTAGAATTAAGAGATTTTCTGTCGAAAAATCATCGATTTTTGGTGTACGATTAGAATACTTTCTCTCCTTGTAATGTATCTGAAGTTGATAAAAAATGTAATCACGAATATATAAAAAAATCATTCTTCAGCATCAAGTTGGGTAAGATGTGGGATTCACTGTTTCGACTCGGTATATAACGAAACACACAATCGTGTTGTTTAAACCTGTATTGTTTGACCCGACGATTGTTGATTTTACTTCGCAAGTCAGCAAATTATACTTATGAATTACAGACAGTAAATTATACTAATAAATTAAATAAGTATTGTATTTTCCGTATAATTCAGATGAAGTAAGTCTTTAGAGATAATTGTTGGTCACTAACAATGTGATCAAATTTTGAACACTCAGTATTATTATTGTGTTGGTGAAACATGTATGCACATAACATTAAGCCATTATGGACACAGTTCTTGGAAGAGAATTACCATGAATGTTTTGACAGAAACTTGGTGTATATACTTTTATAGCTGAAGGTCTCCTGCATTTGCATGTAAAGAGTGAACACGATTAGAAACTGCCCATGCCGTCACATCATCTGTTTGTGAATGAATATTGGAGCAACTATCGTGATGTTTCTTGCTTAGTCATCCACTGCGAAGGTTATGCAAACAGTCATTTCTGAGATCGACTTAAATTCACCACTAAGCGTACTTAGTGTGGGAGGCAGTGAATGGACGACTCCCGATCGTGAGAAAAGGCTTGCGGCGGTGACGTCAGACTTGAAATCAGAGTCATCTGACGCTGAAAGCAATTGCTTGGCAAAAACCTCTCAAGAGATTTCAAGGTGCGCTGCCCAAATTTCTGTCAACCTGTAAATCTCAGCATTATTTCTACCCGAGTAAACCATCTTTAGCGCTGTTGGTGACATCATACTAAAATGCCTTATTCCTCGTTACGTTTTGAAATACAACTGACACTTCCATTTTTCGGTACGAAACGCACGCGTGCAATCTTCGGAATGCATCGACGCTGGCCCAGATTCGAAACGCACCGAGCCACAGAGAAAAGAAAAAAACGCCCTGGATAATTAGTGAGCAACGTTGCAACAAGCTTCCAATCTTCTACAAAAACCTTGCATAGATTTTGCTGCTGAGGAATGAGGCAGTACCTGAACTCCACGAAATTACGCCTCGGTTCGACCATCACGCTCTTCCAAGGAGATTCCAATTACTGAATTACTTGGGCGCAATTTTCAAGGAGATGAAAGTAACCCCCCGTCATGGAAGTCTGTTTTGACAGCAGACGTTTAAAGAAGGAGTGCACCTCGAAAAAGGAGGAGTTTACCATGTTGTTCTGCCATGACGGCGTGCTGATACCTGGTCGATCAAGCGAAGTCCGTGATGCCATCGCGTTTCAGTTCGGTTATTTTATTATTACCGTTGCGAATTGCATCGTAGGCTTCGTAATGACTCACACAGATTCTCAGTAACTTAAGATATTTCTCCTTAGGTTTGCAGGTCAAGGGAGGTCATCAAGTAAGCCGAACGCTGGATCCAATGAAGCAAATTGGAAAAGAACCAGCATTTTTGAAAACTGTTCAAGAGTTCGGAGATCTGATTGTATCGTCCCCAAGGAAATCCGTAATAATATTAATTGAAGTAATTGTGTTGAAAATTTCTAACTGCATGATGTTTCAGGTGTATTAATCTTCGTATTACTCTGTAGCTTTCAAAGAAAGCGAAATGAAATTTTGAACTAATGTGGATTTATTCCTAAGATATAGGAATTCGTCGCAAAGTATTTTTATTAATAAAATTCTCTAAAAACCCTTGTATCATGAAACAGATCTGGTGTAGAATAGGAAAGATATGTGTGTCATCCACATTAATGAAAGAGACAACGTATATCAATGCAGTATTGTTACAAATGTTTGACTTTTTCTTTCGTAATCTGCTCAGATCTTTATGATCCAGCATTAATTACACTTCATTTAAAATACTTCATGCTAGTACAAAATACGTCAGATGGAGAACTCTTTCCACTAAAGGGTATAAACTAAGATAATGGAGATTTTTATTATCGCCAAAACACCCATCCTCACTAAATACGAAAAATACTAAATACGAAAGGTAACGGAAGTTTAAAAATTCTTCGAAAACCTGATGACGAACATTGCGACAATCCACCATTAAGTCCCTGCATCTTCAGAGTAAGATTAACTCACTAAACAATGCAAAAATCCAATCATAGAAGGCCTCTATAAAACCCTCAGTTGTTAATTTCTGACATATTTACTAACATATCTTAACTGACATAATTCTGATGGCGTGATCCTTCATCCACTGATGAATTCATTACACCACATCGCGTTGCATGTTCCTCCTATCTCTACAGGGATATATGAAATTAAATTCAGGTTCGCGAAATATGAGAGCTACGAAATGAGTCTGCGAGAGTTTTTTTCCTAGCACTCCGTCAAACATCAATCATAACAGCATATCATCAATATTTGATATTAAAGAATCTGTCTTTTTACACACACTTCCGTATACAGCGACCAAAACAGCCATTAGATGGTGACTATCAACAACCATTTTCTCTCTGAATGTACTTCAAACATGAACTCTCTATGTTGAAAAATTGAGTCCTCTTCGCCGAATCTATGAATTATTCAATGGCATACAGAAGTTATAATTGTGACAATGCAATAATTAAAAATACATTTTTCACTTCCTATAAGTGGATATTTGTATTTTCCTCGGATCAAGTCGGTCTAATATAAATTCTTTAAAGCTTAAACAACACTTTTGTATTAATCCAGACAGATCTATCAGTACGTTATTATTGACGACGACAATCAATCGTCACAAATTTACTGAACGATGCATAACCCACCTACAATATAGTGTAATATATTATTAAGTAATGGAATTCCTTACGCTGACAACGGGCATGTTTTCTATGAAAAGTAACTTGCACAAACCATTTAAGAAGCGTGTGACTTGACACGTGCTACAAAATATCATACAAGATCTACATTCCTCTGATTTATTCCAATAATCACAGTTCCACATCTGAGACAACTCCACTACCTAGCCCACCCATACCGATCAGAACGGTTGGGTACTGCTCCTCTTAGAGGACGACTATTCAACGGTCACGTACTCGATGAAAGATTCACAGCCACCTCCATTATGATGACCTCTGTGCGTAATTGCAGCACGCGAGAACAGCTCAGGCTGCTCCTTCGAATAATTTAATCGGCCAGTGAGGCAAGAGAGCACGCCAATAACCGCAGGCGTTTCGTGAGAAATTTAATTAAATCGCCTGCACATTTCGGCTGTTTCAAGGAACTCCCCGTTTCGGTCCCCACACTTTACATGATAATCATTGCAATCTTCGACAAGGAAATTGCCTCTTAATACGGCACTGGTACTTATGTGTCCAGAATAAATTCAAATATTGTATAAACCGTAACTTGCATTCACAGATATGCCAGAAGAAATTTTATACATATTTATGAAATACTATTTCGCATAGATTTGGAAAAGCACTTCTATGTTCATTTCTTATTCATTCTGTGTCGTGCTACATTTCAAACTTCCGCGTTTTGTAGACTGAGCCACGTTCACTAGTCTAAACGTATTTGTAAATAGAATATTTATAACACTTTAGTGATGGCAGGTTCTTAATTTATATTTCAATTCTAATTAATCCAAGATCCTCTTTAATTGAAAAAGTTATTATTGTATTGGGTTTTATATTTTGGTAATAAAACTCTTCAATATTTTAACACAATTATTTGCCTGAAGCAGGAAAAATGCTGAATAAAACTAGTAAACTGGTTAAAGGTAGGACGCACACTGTTCATGTACAAATAAAATACTGCAATATAACACTGCAATAAATAAATATATATTAAAAACTACCTTCAAGAATACTGCAATAATATAGTACATATAATATAAACAGAACACCAGTTCTTTACATGTAAATCAAAATAGTTACAGTTCCATAATGGACCACACAAAGAACAAATATTTAATGGCGGATGGCCTTTTCCATGGAGCCTTTCTGTGAGTCATAACAACTGTGTCGAAAACAGACTCTAGAAGTTTGTAATATTTATTAGGACACTTGTAAATAAACGTAAATAAACGACTTGTGGCTAAATTATCGAAAATTTAATCAAATCCTTATTGTTAAATAATGTACAAATTGTATGTATTGCTGTATTCTGCCACCGGGCAACATAACCCCAATAGCGGAATAAACTTTACATAGATTTAAATTAGGAAAATAAGCTATCACTAGCAACTGCCACAGGAAGTGTTATATTCTGAGACTCGAAAAATTTACGACTGCCTTATTTCGAACGAATACTAGAAATAACGGGAAGCATAAATATCATTAGTAACTAAAACAATCCAGATGCTTGACATTAATTTGTATTTAATCTCCGAAAAGGTATCACGATTCCAAAATAAACAATGAAATAAATGAGATCTCTTTTTCATATAATACCCAACGTCCTAAAAGGCAAACATTTCTACGTTACAACAGTACTTTACATTACGTACCAAAGAAAGACGATTCGTTCCATCATCTCGTTCTGCGCAACATCCCCAGAGCGCAGGGGTACAAAATCCGAGCAGAGGTCAGTCAGCAAGGCAGATAGCATCTCGAAGGATAATAGGACGGCACATCTACCCAGTTAATCACGGTCGGCCCGTTTCGCCAGCGAAGGCCGCATCGCAGTATTAAACGCGCTTAATTTTCGCGATCGCCCACAAGTTGTCACCGCCGTGCGCGACCAATACCGCTGAATGGCTCTCGTGCTAATAGCAGCTTGTTGCCGGTCACGCTCCATTGCGAGCTTAATTGAAAAAGATGCGGCGCTAGCATTTCGATTCACAAGGAGATGAGCTCATATCGTGACTGTCCTGCATTCAGAGCAAGTGGTTCAGAGGAAGTTTTTCCATTGTTTCTGCAACCTTAAACTATGTGTCTTTTAGAGTTTCAATAAGTTATGATAATTGTAAACAATTTATGAATTCAAACATTATATCCGTTGAATATCGAATTAGGTACAGTCAGGTTTCTCCTAAATTTATAGAAATTATTGCTCACATTTTCGTAAAATATATCGTCTTTCTGCACGTGTATTTCACTACGTTCTTTTTTTTCATTGGCGATTCTTACCTTCATATTATTTTTATTAGTGAAATTGCTGAAATCCTGGAGTTTGAGTGAAATAAACTATCGAATATCTCATTCTTTAAGTTAGTCAGACAACAGTAAAAATGTAGTACAGGAAAAATATTTGATTTCAGTTTTTTTCTTAAAATACATATTAAAGTGGATGTAAAAAACTGTTTTTATCACATATCAAGTAAAATAGTTAACTAGAGTAGACAAATTTATCAGAATCTACTCAATATGCAATTGACGGTTTTTCCACTTTGTGGGTTTTCAAAACCCGACGAAATAAAAATATTATCAACAAAATAAAATACTTTCTCTGAGAAATACTGTAATATATAGTTTATTTGTGAGATTAAAGAGCAGAATTTCCTCTGGATTAAATTACTTCTCTGATGAGAAGAAAATATTATTGAATCACGACTCAGAACCACACACTTAAAACTGAAATTTTGTGTTAGATTTAAAAAAGCAAAACCATATTTGTATTTTTTTAATTACGTATTGGTTTTAGTAGAATAATTGAGTTATCATATTTGGTTTCAAAATTCTCTGCCTCCAACTTTGATATTGCAGACTGGTATTGCATCTTTGGTACATACGCATTCTGGACTGTAAAGAAAATAACAATTGTGACGTCACACATAAAATTAATCATTAAAACAATGTATTATATAGTTATTTTATCAATAAATGTACGAAATAATGGTACCAATAATGACAAGTGTAACTAAACTACGGGTAATTTGGCGAAATTTCGAAAACTTTTTAGTTTTTACAAATTGACTCTCAAATTATAATCAAGCTAACATAAATTTGATGAGTATTATTACCAACTGTTGTACCTACGAAAATAGGTCATGAAGGCACAAGCAGTTTGTTTTATTACACGCATACACGAAAAAAATGCGCGGCATGAATAAGTGAAAGACGGTTCCGAATTCTACCTTATATTTTCAGAGAACGTTGAATATTTACAAATAATTGTATAATTATGTCAGTCAAAAAGATTGTTTTAGAAACCGTACGTTGGTACGAAAGGCAAGGAACACTGGAAAAAATTGAAGATAGTGATAATCCAAACATTTTAGTCAGCCAGGTTCCATGATATATGTTTTTTCTTCTCCAAATGTATTGTCTCTGAAGAAAACGTAACTGCAACACCATACATAATAGTGCGTAAATATAACTGTAGATATATTCAATGTACAATATCAATTTTGTAAGAATTTGCGGTATTGATAATTGTGAAAAGTTAATTTACAAACTCAATGTTTTGAACTTCATAGTAGCCCAGAGTTACAATGAAACTTTTGAAAATCTTGTAAACAAATGCTTCGTCAACAATGTGACGATATACATACCAAGTAGTATGATCTACGAATGTAAGAACACTCATTGGTGGAGGCAGTAGAAAGCTTTCAAAAAAGCCAATCATTTGAACGATGAGACGAACCAATGATGTATTATCTGCCTCAACTTATTTTACTGGACATATACAAGAATTTGCAATCTGCATTCAAAAGAAAATAGTAGTTTACGTAACAAGGGGACGAAGCAGGTGATTCACGCACGAGTCAAGTTGTCGTCCGAGCGTTGCGATGACGCCAAAGAGACGAGTGGCGGAATGCCCTCGCGTCCGTGTTGCGTATATTTTTTTTTAACGCGCCGTGAGTGAAACGCAAGGCGTTAAGTAAAATAATATAAATTTTATTTTATCTTCCTGTACAAGTGTAAATGGGTTCAAGTCAATGTCGCAACACTATTGTTTTTAAATAATAAACAAAGACATCATCAAGATGAAAGATAGTAGCGAATCGTTACAGATGTTTCACACATTCTTCGCGATGTTTTGCACACTGTGAAATAAATTAACTGTTTCGCACAGGGAAAACAAGAACGAGAAACCGCGTTCCGCAAATGGCGTGTGAAAAATAATGTTGCCTCATGTAAAATTTGCCTCATTCCTCTTACAAATACATTTATTTAATTGGTTATTTTACTGCCAAAACAATTCCATTCTGAAATAACATCTACACCATCGCCACGCGAATTTCTGTAGCATCACGTGCTTGGAATGTTGCATTGCTCCCAGCATAACATCATACGAGGCTAATCGATAGAAACGATGACGTAAGTGGAGGGGAGCTCTTTTGTGAATCTCGACCGGAAACGCGAACTTCGCGACTACAATACCGAAGGGGGCACAACCGTTTTGGGGAGAGAGAACCGTTCGTTCCCATAATCTTTACACGCAACATGTCTGCTTGATGAAGAAACAAATCTTTCAACTGCCAGCAATACGTTTATCTAGCAACATGGCTCTTTGAAGTTTGAATAACGCATTCATCTGAAATGTTTCGTACGTTTTACTTAGAGATTGTGGTTTATTTAAATTACCATTTCTTGGTAGAATAATAATAAATAAATAATGCATTGATTTGAATCTTAAACAATCTGTCCCAGATCAAACAAATTTAAATAATTTTATGCCACAGAACAGAAAATATGTTTGGTTATATATCCAAATTGAAAAAATATATTAAATTTTAGTAATTTTATTTGGCTCTCAAGTTTTGAGGACAGTAAGATAGTCACTATATTTACAAAACATGAAAATCTTAACCCTACTTCCAATCAATACCCAGAAAAAAAGCGTACTCTGAGATTAATATATAAATTGGATCTTCTATAACACAGACCCACAAACACCTTCCATTTTTTAAACTACAAAACCACCGTAAAATTGTAGATTGTAAATTTCAGGGTGTTATTTTTTTGCGATTTAAAAGAAATGGGTGATGGCGCAATTCTGGTTTCTGTTTCAATTTCAGAACGTCCACATACATAGAAAGACATGTGTTACTTTTTCAGGTTTGACGACAACCCCCGAAAACAAAAACACAATTTCACGATGTTTTTTCGCAATTTCAAAAACGCGTTTGTGGAAATCTGGCCTTAGATTCGATAGCGTGTAGGCATACATAGAGAAAAAATGTAGCAAGTCTTTGGGTCTGACAGCAACCCTCGAAAAAAAAATGTTCCGGTGTTTTTTACGATTAAAAATGCAGGGTGATGGCGCAATTATGACTTCATATTCGGATTCAACGCGTCGGTATAATAGAGAAACATGTATGAATCCTTTGAGTCATGATGTTCGCAGTGAAAACCACAAACGTCTATAATTCTGGCAGTCGAGTAAAACACGTTCATGGCCAAATTGATTGATGTTTCCAGACTCGTCAACTACTAAAGTCATAAGTCCCATAACTGTTGTAAACTGTGAGGTAATTTTATCCCGGGTAGTGGCAGTGTTCCTCCTCTGCTCCATGGAGAAATCTAGCACCAACCTACACGTTGGTTCTCGGAGGATTTCTGCTCCCAAGTATCTCCCCCAGCAGGTCAAGCTCTACTCTGCCGACTAGTACTTCATCACGAGATGTAATTTAGTGAATGACTGTGTGTGTGTGTGTGTGTGTGTGTGTGCGTGCGTGTGTATGTATGTGTGTGTGTGTGTGTGTGTGTGTGTGTGTGTGTGTGTGTGTGTGTGTGTGTTACTGCTTGGGCATTGGCCTGACGATGTTCGGAGAAACCACGGAAAAATATCGATCAGTGCAGCCGACCGCTACAATTATCCTCCACTGTGGCTGAATTTGAGCAAACTATCTGGCTACTGAAAACCCTGCATCGCCGGACCCGAACCACAACACCTCCTCGTCATAACCGCTGCAGAGTCGGCAGCAATGCTGACTCCGAGCTCAACTCTCCCTGGTACACGGACAGATGAAGCCCGAGGGCATCGGCGTTCAGCAAAGCGAGCGGCCGCCGTGAGCGACGTTGCCCGCGGGGATATGGGAGAGTCGATACAGTTGCACCACCGGCGCCGCGCCGGTGCCGTGGCGGCAGCGGCAGCGTCTTCGTGATCCAATAAAAGCAGACACGCGCTGCGGAGGCGGCGTGCGCTCATCGCAAATCCTCCCACCTCCTCGCCCTCAGCCTTCGTTTCCTTGCGCGGGGCACGCGCCGGAGAAGGAGAGTGAGAATGAGAAGGGAGGAGACCGACAGAGGAGACGAGAGAAGTTTAAGACTAAACGCTTGACCCCGCTCACCGCCGTGGCCTGCGGGTGAGGGGCAGTGGAGTGAGCAATGATGTTGGTGGTGGAAATGATGGTTGTGATGGCGGTGGAAGGTAGGCGGAAGTATTAGGATTGGTGGCGCCGCTACTAGAGAATATAGAAACAAGAGTAGAAATGAATAGTAATATTCATGTTTTTAGTTATTATAGTAGTAATAACAAAGAGTCTTGCGAATATTTTTTATGGGGACGGCAATGTGATGTTTGCATAGCTGCCATAGTAAAGGAATGATGATTCTGGTGACTTTTCGAGAGTAAAAGCCATTGAATGAGTTGCCATTGTTGAGGAAAGGTCAGTACAAGATAGATACAAGATAGAAGACAAAGAAGGATAGTAATAGTAA